AGAGCTTTAAAATGTTTTTTTAAAAAAAAAAAAAAACACACACATACACATACAGGACGTCTATGCTGCTGATCTGCGTCGAATGATGAAGGCCCCTCGTTGCAGCTGCCCTAAATAGATCCTCATCTTCGTACTGTCACTTGTCTTTCTCACCCAGATCTGCAAGAGAATCGAAATCCAAGACAAAGCACTTCAATATTTATCCTGTACCAACTTCTTCCAGCATCCAAATGAATTCCAAACAGTGATTTGTACTCCAAAGCCACTGGCTCAGCAAGTAAAAGTCCAGATCTATGCAGTGAGTTATTGATGCTGGCATTAAAAGGATGCAAATGCGACAAAAGCTATTGGAAAGACATCCTCGTACACTTTGATATGGATGCAGATTACAATAAATGAGAGCGACTAAATGAGAATTTTCCTCTTCTGGCCCTCCAAAGCTGATGCACTTGGGCTGATCTCAATAACCTGCTGTTTATTCCCCTCCAAGCAGGTCATTAGTTTGAAGAGCACAGTCATTTGTTTAGCACCAATCAGAAGAGAGAATCAGACACAAACCTCATTGGTCCCCACAGAGCTGATGACACAGCTGATCTTGGTGTTCTCCTTGGACTCCAGATAGACTGCTTGACTTTTATGGTACCTGAAACAATAACAGCATTAGTCATTTAAGATCCACTAGACTGAGAGACCATTACAGAAAATTCCCTTTAGGGCCATGTTCTCAGTCAGGCATTGTATGTGAGCTTATCTCCTCACGTATTGCCACTGAAAAAGCAATATTTAGGCTTTAAGGATTTCCCAAAAATGATAATTCTGCCATAATTTTCTCACCCTCATGAAATTTTGCATGCAAGAATTCTCTTATCGATATAAGAGACTTATATGCAATTAAAAATTCCTAAAATAAAATTATTTCTGCTAAAGGGAGCAATACCAGTTCCTAAATGTAGAAGTGTACTTCTTTTTCCACACAAGGCAATTACATAGATATTCTGTAACCAAGTAACCAAGTTTATGGTTATCATTTGGTAAATTATACCACCTTCAACCAGCAATAAAGTTCCAGTATCGATCTGTCCACACAAGTAATTTTTAATACTATTTAATTAAATTAATATTTAATTCAATTCTGATTTATGTGTGTTTTAGTTATAATGCACATAAAAACGAAAATGAAATTCGTTCTCTACAAATTATGTAAATTATATAGGGCAGTGTTTCAGACTGATTTAGACTAGCAACTCGTCTTTTCGACCTATTCACCAAAATAACCATTCATACTAGTCATTTGTTTTGGAAACCAGGTTACACTGATCACGCTGCATATTTTTGATTTACTAAAAAGAATCGTTTCACACATATGTTTTTGATTTACAACTTTTCTGATGTCAAAAAAGCTGACCTTTCTTTTCTCGCGCTGACATTATAGGCTTTCTCTGGTTCTAAATGAAGTGACTGAGCACTGCGCATGTGCTGAAGTCTTCAGAAATGTATCAGAAATACATGTTAAATGAAGTGCATGTAAACAACTATGTGTATCAGACTACACCGTTTAGGGTTCCTATAAACAGAACTTTTAGAATCTGAAATCACACTGGATTCATCCTGACTGACAAATATTACTGCGTGTACACACATACCTCCAGCCTTCAAGAGTCATTTGTTCGGGAATCATATTAGACTGGTCATGTTGTAAACTCAGCATAAAAAGAAATGCCCTCTCACATTCAATTGCTTTTATTTCCGGCAGATTTCTTAACATGTTTAAATATTTCTATTTACATAAAATGTTCAACTGAGACATTAACTAAACATTTTAAACAGGCATTTAACAAACAAAAATTTAATAATGAGTCCCTGTGTATCAAAAGTTGCAGTGAGTATTTTGTGTAGCCACCAGAGAGGCTTCCCCACTATTCCACAAAGGCAGTTCTCAGACAGTTCTGGGCAGACACGTGGTTTGTCAATGCAAGGACGATCAGCTGTCCTTCCTGTCACCCTGTAGCACTGTCTTAGGCCTCTTACATTACGGACAGTGCAGTTTATTGCTCTGGCCACATTTGCAGTCCTCATGCCTCCTTGCAGCAGGACTATGCATGGTTCATGCAGGTGATCAGGAACCCTGGGCATTCTGGTGTTATTCAGAGTGAGTAGAAAGGTCTCTTTACTTTCCTAATTTACTTTCCTAAGTTCCTAAATTGTCTACTGCCTGTAAACCTCAAGTGCCTTAAGGACTGTTCCACATGTGCATGTGAAATAATTGTTTATGGTTTATTGAACAAGCATGAATAACATTGTTTAAACCTTTTGCAATAAAGACATGTACAGCTTATTTGGATTTCACAAAATTACCTTTAAAATACAGCATCCTGAAAAGGGGACATATCTTTTTTTTGCTGAGTTTATGTGTGCTTGCAGCCCGTGATTTCAATAGAAAGAGGTTTTTCAGCATTTCTCCATTTTACTGCATTACACTACACTAGACTACTTCAATACAGAACGCAAACTTACATTCACAATTCAGGTAAAACGCAATTTCTTTTACTATCTTTCACTGTGAAAATTATGCAGCAATGGCATAGATTCAGCAGCGAGGAAAGAACTGCTTCTCAAGAGTCACTTGTTTGTGAATCAGACCGTTCATACTGCATGTTTGTTTCTGGCATGCAACCCGCTGAGGAGGACAACTTAATACATTTTATTATTTTTGTTACATAACATTGAATGCAGACTGCAAGCTCACTTTTACAAGTCAAGTAAAGTATGATTTATTTTGCTGTGGCACAAAAGCAATAGTAACAGTGACGGTTGCCTTAGCAAACGCCACTAATTAGAGAGGGAGAGCTTGTCATCTCTTAAAACACAGCGCAGAGAGAGAGAGAGAGTAAAAGTAGCCTGTGGCTTCAACCTTCTCACATAAACATCCTCTGGAAAAGTTCAGATAGCAGCATAACTAAACCTCTCCACTCATCGTTAAAAAAAGCAGAATAAAACTGCATTTAATATACATGCAACATTATACATTTAATGTCTGCCGTATCACCCTAGACCACATTTCCTCCTCCGCTCACTCTCTCCTCATCTGCACACAAATATTCCGGTTGGATCGCATTGCTGATAGCTATGGCAGCCCACTGTCTAAAGGGCACGACTGGATGAATGCGTGTTGACACACTCATAAAAATCCAGAGGCATTCATGACGTTTAATGTCACAAATGCACAAGACAAAGTAATCTTCAGACCTCATCCTAAACCACAAGCTTCCTGTGCACTTTGATCACACAAACAATTAAATAAATATTTAGATAGTTTGTACAGAGTATTGCATGTCAGAATATGTGGATCATCATGCCCATGATGTTTACATTATTAAATATCATGACACAGATGACGGTAAATACCATGTCAGCAATGCATGACCTGAATCCTGGCACAGATGTTACAGGAAACTACCTCTTGCAAATACATCACATACACAACCTTACGTACACATAACTAATGAAATAACAGCTTAAAGTAATAACTGAGATATTAAAGATAGCATCTTCTTACAGCCCAAATACAATACAAATCTGAAAGCAGCAAGCTTCAAATATTCTTTAAATAACCTCTTCTACATGCCATGTTACTTTAATGCCGCAATCATTATGAAAAATTGTAAACATTTTAAGATACAAATTATGCATACAAATAAGCCTTTATGATTATTACAGACAGATAGATAGAATGATAAAAAGAATAAAAAGAATGATAGACAGAACAATAGATAGATAGATAGAGATAGAGCGAGAGAGAGCGAGAGAGAGAGAGAGACAGACAGACGGACGGACGGACGGACGGATGGATGGATGGATGGATAGATAGATAGATACTCTAAGTCTGTCTTGTCTCAGTTCAGTCCAACTCTGTGAAGTGACTTTGTCCTTTATGTAAACTATAATATGATAAAATTGAAAATCAGAAGACTGAATGCTCCATCTTGTGGTCAGTATTAATACCAGAGAGTGACTGTAAGATTTTTTGGAGGCTTTTGGGGTCTTGCAAGAATCAGAGGGTCAACTGGTAGAAGCAGTAAGTACACCATTAATTTCCACAATGTAAATCAGACAGTCTTCATAATGGCTTTTCACACTGAGTTTTACCCTGGGTTATCATCTGTTTAAACCAACATTATTTAGTCACTGACCTTATAAATATGCAAAACCGCATGTTATGCCAGAGTTAAGAAATATACAGTGTGAAATCTTAAAACCAGAATAGTGTAATGAAGTTTGAGCTGTGTGAAGCATGATAACTCAGAATTACATTCACCCGGGGTTAATAATGTTTGAAAAGCCCAGTAGAACACAGAGTACCTTACCATCTCTTATCATAGTAGATTTTCCCCTCCTCTATCCGTGCCTCATAACGCTGGCATGGGGTGTCCAATGGAGTCGATGGTAGGTGCTCTGGAGAAGACGGGGACGCTGAAAAACATCACACATTCATATTCAATTAATTTCAAATTTATTTTAAAGCCTTTGTGGCTAAAATAAACTGATAGGAAATTTCTGGCAAAATATATGGGGAATCACCTCTAAAAGACAAAACGTCCATACCTGGTCTTTTCGGAGATTTAAGCTATAAAGGAAATGAAGCAAAAAAAGAAGGTTGTTTTGATTTTCTTCAGCAATCTCAGTTTTAAAAACGACAGACATGGACAAACAACTTGATATTTTGGTCAACCACTAATCGGCAGTAAATCCAATAGTATGTCAGAGTCAAAAACCTATTTTCTATTCTATTTCTTTTAGTTTAAGTATTTTTTTCCCCCTTTTAAACACAGCCAATTTCTTCTTATCACCAAGTAATACATGAGAAAATTCAGATATCACTGAGTAATAAAACATAATGACATTTTCAGGGGACCTTACTTTTTTTTACCTAATAGAGAGCTTTTAGGGAAAAAAAAAATAAAGATCCTTTCTTCAAAGCCAAGATGCGAGTCAAAGACTTTCATTACGTTTTGATGAAATGGAAATTTTGATTAAACTTTTTCTATCACACTTTTTCTCATCTCATAGCCTGCAAACGAATAAAGTGTATTACAATTTGATTAACGATGATATTGCTGTAGAATGAGACATTGAAAATTAGGCAAAAACATACTATGATATGGTATCTGTGAGGCAGTGAAATTTGTACTTAGCTAGACTTTTATGGGGCTTCATAAAAATGGAGCCAATTACAATTTTACTGAGACCTAACCTTACCTTGTTTAATGTTCTTAGATCCTCCATGATCTGTTCATCACTGAGTAAATAGTTTAACTGGGGTGAGGATAGTTAAGAAACCTGATTATGAAAATAGAGGTCCTTTACATAATGAACTCTTAAAGGTACAGTAGCAGTAACAGGCTATTTAAACTAAAGTGCCCCTATTATGCCATTTTTAAGGTTCCTAATATTGTTTTGGGAGTCTCCTACAATAAGTTTACATGCATGCAAGGTCAAAAAACGCTTTTGTTTTCTCAAAATATGCATTTAATATCACCTCATTTTCCAACAACTCTCAAATGATTCGTTTGAAGCAGTCCTAAGATTCAGTCTCTCTAAACCCGCAATTTATGTGATCCTACTCTGCTCTGATTGGTCAGATGGCCCAGTTTGTTGTGATCGGTCTACTGCCTACAGCACATATACTTACAGGATGTGATTCAGTGGAGCCAGCTGATAATAAAAAACTGGGTACAGAGCCATCTTTCAAGAGCAATTGTTTTGTGAATCATGCGATGAAATCCCCGAGATTACAAAAAAAACTTTTCCGTTGTACTGCTGTGGTACAATGGAAAAAAATAATTATAACCACTGATTCTTTGCAGTCTCATCTTTCGGGAAATGAAAATAAAATGAATTTACTTTCACAGCATAGGACAGAGTGTCTTCTCAACATGATGTTAACCAATAACCACACGAACAAGCTACTGTGTTTGAGGGCGGGGTTTAAGTTGTTCGCACCCGGCCAAAGTAGAACATAGGAGCATTATGCAAATATGTTACCCCGTGACATGTAGCCGTCACAGAAGTGGGATTTGAATACTGATGACTCGTTTAGGCTGTTCAGAGTCAATTATTTCTTTTAGGGAGACAATAACTTTATTTACTGTGCACTTTCGGGTTTACAACTTTGCAGATTGTTGTGTAAAGCTACATTACACATTGCATGAAAGGCAACATTCGAAATTGCATAATATGGGCACTTTAATACTAAAGGTTGGAGAGAGGTTGTAAATCATCATGTAAAACTGCACTGGTGCCAGAGACTATGACTAACATTAGAAATGAACTTCAGGTAATTAAATAAAGTGCTACAGATTAGGGCTGGGCGATATGTGCAAAAATTCATATCTTGGTATTTTTTGGCAGATTTGCAATATACGGTATATATCTCTGTATTTTCGTTTTTGTATTTGGATTTTAAAAAATCAGTATTTAATATATATATATATATATATTAACATTGTAACATTGCAATCTAAAAACAAAAATAAGGCTTTTAAAGCAGAAGTTAAATTCACTAAATTAAAAATGAAAATAAATTTAATTTTGCTGTGTTAGGCTATTTTGATTACCCCATTACAGTCACTTTACAGTCAGTGCTATCATAAAAATAGACTTACTTGTAGGTTTTACATTTATTGTCCAACTACAAATATTTCAGCGAAATGTATATTTTAGTCAGAATTATAGAGTGGGGGAACTATGACGTCACTTTGTATGCGGGTCGGCTGTTAACATCGCACTGGTTCCCTCAACAAAAAGCCAATGGGATTTTATCATAGGCTTTTGGATTGGGATTTTACCATAGGCTTTTGGATTATCGCAAAAAAATCAGCTCTGTGTTCAACCATAGTTAATGAAACTTACATGTTTTGTCCTTTGAGATAATCTTCACAAAATAAGATAACTTTCATGAATTTTGAAGCCAAAATAAAAGTGCCAGAACTTAAAAGCTAAACTTAGGCTATAAACGAACTACAGCACCACGGTCGCTCGCCTTCAGCGTCACCACCACTATGCTCCCGACAACTTTTTCAAACTTCTTTTTATCACGTTCTTGAGAGAAAGATACTTTCACGTTTTATTCTACGACATAAAACACACCAGTTACACCCCACTCGTAATTTTTTTAAACTGTTACATTTCTTAAAAAAGACGGTTGCTAACAAGTTGCTAAATGGTACAGGCGCTGTCGGAGACATTAAACGTCATCACGCTGAGCAGTTTATCAATTTACAGTATTTTCCAGTAGTATAATTTGTAATACAATTAATAGTTTCCCGCATTTTATATTAACTCCAGCACCACGGTCGCTCGCCTTCAACGTCACCAGCACCATGCTTCCCACAACTTTTTCAAACTTATTTTTAACACGTTCAGTGAAAAGGATTTACCCTGTATATGAATTTTAATCCACGCTACATGAACCTTTTTATATAAACTGGAATAAATACAAAACTAGAGCCAAACTAAAACTGAAATGAGACATTAGTAATAAATAGTA